GGAAGAGCAGTGTCAAGTGTGGAGAGTGCAATGAGAATGGGCTGATCCTATGTCCCATTTGTTGTTAATTATGAATGCTAATCACGTTTTTTTAGGTTGACCCGTTTAATTATGGTTCTTTGTTACAGAGATTGGAGCGAAGAAGAATTGTTGATTTTGTATTTGGGCTATATATAAATACATTCACACGTTTAGATAATGTTTATCTCTTAGAAAAAAATTGTTTTAGACTTCTAGGGGCTTTTGTCCTTTTTATCTTCTCGCCCGTCCAACAAATTTTATCACCATAATTTAAGACTAAGAGCACTGGAAATATCGTGAAATTATGGGGCTTCAAAGTAGTATCAATTTCAATTTACTTCACAATTTCATTGAAAATAAGTTTTGACTTAATTCACAGTTTCAATAGGGATTTCAATCCTTTAAGTGGGCGTGGAGAGCTTTTTGCGGGGAAACTTGCAAGTACAGTTTGGGGGGAGGCGGGCGTCTACCCAACCTTATGAGTATTCGGACTATAACAGTTCCGATGAACAGCCTCTCACTTTTGACAGTTATACGATTCCAGAAGATGATCCAGACTTGGGTCAATCACGTTTATTAGAAGTGCACAATAGAGTGGTTGTACCAGCCAAAATGTTAGAAGAATAAAAAATAATTTTATTATTATGACTGCACCTAGAAAAATAAAACATTCTAAGTTGTCTACGTACCCCGATGAAGGGGATCAAGCCACACGTAGTTCAAAACAGGATTGGTTAAATTCCCAAGCGACGTTGTAGGCCTTCAAGAAGGATAATGGGGGTTTCCTATAAAATTTAGGATGATATAGCTCACTCGGTCTAATTGGCATTCGTCAGGACACTGGAAATACATATGAAGCCCCAAGGCTTCAAATCGGGGCTTCAAACTCTCTCTCTCTATGTCACGTCAGCTTTAACTTACCTCACAGATTCATTGGAAATGGGTTTGAAGCCCCGGGGCTTCAAACAAGGGCTTCAAACCTTCATTTTTTTACATTTTTAAATAAACATCTTCTAAAACTTAATTAATAAAATTTAATTATTTCATTATTTAATTATATTTAAACGAGAATAATTCAAAAAAAATGCATTCATTAAATTAAAAAAATTAAAGCGATAATAATTAAAAAAATTACATTCATTAAATTTAGAAAAATAAAGCGACAATAATTTAAAAAAATACATTAATAAAATAACTAAGGTAAATTATATTTAGCCTTAATCTCTTTTTGTCTTCTCTCGAAGATCATACGTTTGAAGCTCGATAACGTATCAAGGTCGTTTTCCATTATTTCGATATCTTCCTTCTCTTGCTTTCTTCTCGCCCTCTCTTCTTCTCGAATATTGAACATCTGAAGTTTTTCAACCATTGCGTGACCGATATCGTCGTGAGAAGAAATGGAAACAGAGCCGGACCCTCCAGAACTCGAGGCAATGGATTTTGCCTTCTTTCTTTCAATCGGCCGTAGAATGGGGTCTTCGTCATTAGAATTGTCAACGTTGAAGAGAAGCCTTTGTTTGGACGAACCGATTGTGTCATCGACCTCAACCTCGACGCCGACGGAGGATCTTTTCTTTGAGGATCCGGCATTGGGATTGTTGAGTTGTTGCCATGGGCACCTTGCTTTGGTGCCCGTCGTCTTGATACCGGGCCGTGGCAAGCCGAAGAACAACGGCGTCGTTCGTCCTGCTCCTCCGGAACCGAGTGCATTCCTCGTAAACTCCGATAAACTTTCGTACTTTACAGTTGATGTGGCCACATTTAGAAGTGAGTTGGTCACAGGTACGGTACGAGGCGTTCTTGTTCATCGCCGTAAAGAACTTCTCCTCAATACGATCCCACATTGCATCCTTCGTTTGCTCCGAACCTTTAAAAAGTATAATGCGATTTTTTTTTAACACGAATATATAAATAAGAACATAAATATATTAGAAAACATATAATTTTTACCAACGATAGGATGCTCGGAGACGTCAACCCAAGCCGATGCCATCAAGCACTCTTTCTCCGGCATCCACTTTTGGATTGACCGTGCCGCCTCGGTCATCGCTTGAGTGCCTTTCGCTTTGTGGCTTTTCCGGCGTGCACTTTTTTTGGTGCCGGATGGTTCCGGTTGAGTATCTGGAACCGACTCCCGCTCATAGACGTACCCCGATGGTTGCGTCTCAAACAACAATGTATTACTCCCGTATTGTTAGAAGATCCACATGGCGTGCCCGTTAGGCTCGAGATCGTCGGAGCCGGAGGGATTCATGTTAAAAAGAGAATTGGAAAATTGGAAAATTGAGAATTGAAGATGTGAAGAAGATTGATGAGAATTGGAGATTGAAAGATGTGAAGAAGATTGAAGGATTGAGTTTGAAATTTATAAAAAAAATTAATTTTTTTTAAAAAACTGTAACGGCTAATTTAGCCGTTGGGGGGGGGGAGTGCGTCAAATGTGTAACGCCATGTGGTGACGTCGGAGTAACGCCCTAGGGGGGGCGGTGTTTAACGCCCAGGCAGCGTTAAACGCCGCATGGCGCCCCCTGGCGTTATGTACGTGTATTTCCTTTGCTCTTAAAAGGAAGGGAGAAGGACTAAAGTATGACTAAAACATTGAAAATATACCAAAATAGGACTCTCATATTTTTTTTCCCAAAATAGGACTTACATTACCAAACATGGTCATATACATTACCAAAAAAGTATAATAATGTGCACATGTACACTGCCACATTACCACAGGGCAAAGTCACATTACCACAGTGCAAAGTCCTATTTCAGGAAAAAAACATGAAAATCCTATTTTGGTACTATTTTCTATGTTTTAGTCCTATTTAAGGTGATTTCTATAAAAGGAATGTATTTCCAATAACAACTATGTTGGATTATCTATGCTTTTTTAAATTTGTGTGAATTTTATTTCTAAATAGATTAAGTAATGAATAAAGATTAATGTGGTAAAAGAGACATAAAAATGTAAAAATAACGTCTAAAAATGTAAATGTATTATTAACTGATCAAGGTACTATACCAAAAAAATGTTCATGGTAATGCATTACAAACTTATGTGCATCATGTAGAGCTAGTAAAATCGGGATGCATTAGTCAGGTCCGTTTGAGTTTGGTAGTATCGGGATCGGCTTAATGAAAGCTCATTCATGATACAAAGTGATTGGATTGAGTAATGTTAAAGTCACAAACACTTGGGATACAAACTATACAAACTTACTATTTGTGTATTTAAATTTTTTTTAATTACTTCAACATAAATCATCCTAAATAGGACTAAAACATAGAGGAAAATACTAAAATATGACTTTCATGTTTTTTTCCCCGAAATAGGACTTTGCACTGTGGTAATGTGACTTTGCATTGTGGTAATGTGGCAGTGTACATGTGCACATTACTATACTTTTTTGGTAATGTATATGACTATGTTTGGTAATGTAAGTCCTATTTCGGGAATAAAAACATGGAAGTCCTATTTTAGTATATTTTCAATGTTTTACTCCTACTTTGGTTTTTCTCCCTTACTTCAAATCATTTTATTGAATTAAAAAAGTACACAAATGATAAGTTTGTGTAATTTATGTCCTAACTGTTTGTGAGTCTAGCATTTGGGATGACATACACTGACTTTAGACACTTATTTACGACATTGAATATTTTATGCAAATAAGCAATAAAAAACATTACTACCATTATTTAAAAAATTTCCACTAATGACTAATGCAAAATATTGTTCGACTTAATTCTAGAAATTCATCGGTTTAGGTTGTACATGCTTTAACTATTTAATGGATTGGGCTATTTTTGGCCACGTCATTTGATATTTGTATCTAAAATTAAAATTAATAAGGTTATCTATAGCGCTCCACCATTGATCTCTCTAAATCAGTAGCCTCTCAAGATCACATCAGCGCTGATAATATTCATCATCTCACTCATTTACATTTGTAGTGCCTCACATCCAATGTAATAATTATACTTTTAATTTTTTTAAGTATTTACTTACTTCTATTCTATTTAAATTCTATCTTTTATAAAATAATACTCCATCTGTTCCAGTATCTTGGTCAAGTTTGACTTTTTTAATTAATCAAGCTGAATGAAAACGTTGGAGAGGTCACCGATGATAAACGAATTGCAAGACGAGCCCAAATCCGTAGTAGAGAAACACACAATCTCAAAGCGGATTTAGTAGAGCATGTTTGAAAAAATTGAAATTTAAATTAGTGTTTCTTGTATTGTTCTTTACTTTCATGTACTTCATGCCTTTTTTTTGGGTGAATTTAATTGTTATGATATACTCCCTCCGTTCCAAATTAAATTGCATGTTTACTATTCACAAGGCCAAAATTCATTCTATTTTTTATTTTCGTTAATAATTTGATAAAATAATATAGTCATGTCACCACTAATTTTGTAGATCTCTTGATGTAGTTTTGAAATATGTAATTTTAATTTTTTTATTCTACGCCTTCATATAAAATGATTTGAAAATAACTTCAGTCAAACATCATAAACTGAAACAGACGTTTTAACTTGGAACGAAAAGAATAGAAAATTTGGGAAAAAGTAATAACCCAAAACGAGAAAAAATTATTAATAACGAAATAAAAATAAGAATAAACTAAAAAACATAATAAAATAACTTTTTTTATTTTATATTACTACTTCAGGGATAGGGATCACTGGATTAGACAATAAGATATTTGGGCTGAACCACATTAAAAAATTAAATCCAATCGATTACTTAGTTCAACTCAAGAGCTTATCTATCAATTTATTTTTTCTACAAATTCCGATGTGGAATACTCTTTAACAGAGTCAATGCTACTACGCATTGCTGGAAATCCATGCACCTCCTCATCAAAATCGTATATTTTTTGAATGTCATTCAATGACTGTTTCTGCAAATATTATTCACCATATAGCGTCACGACTCCTTCAATATAATGGAAATCAATACTCTACACTAAAATATTTAAACAAATACTGGGAAAGATTTAATTTTTACAAATTAAATATAAGAACGCATTAGAACTCATAAAATGTATCTCAAACTTATTTTTTCGGACATCTTAATATTCATCCCATGAATTTGAACTTGTACAATAAGCCAATTCCGAATAGCAGATGTACACTTTTACATATTTGTAAATCCGAGTTTACCTCTTCCATTGTAACGATGTTGGAAGTATTCAAATTCGGCCTTTAACGCTTTTGGTCACGCGGCGACATGGCAGTGCCACAGAGGTCCACAGGCAGCACCAGCACGAGGCGGAGGCATACATACAGCCTAAGTAAAAAACTGTCTCTAAGCTTTGAAAGTGTTCAAATTTTTTAATCAAAGTCAATCTAACTTGGTCCAGGTTAAAATTTAACTTAAGTCACATTTGAATAATTTTTTTTGAGTCGATTTGGATATTTTAAGGTCGGGTTGAACAAGGCCAGGTTCATGTTGGATTGACAAGCCTACTTGTCAATGTTTGACCTTTTTTACTTTTAAATAATCGTTTTAGCTAGTTTTTATTTGGGGCATCATAATGATGATAGCCTGACAGGAACAAAATACTGATGTTGAGGCATGTACAAAACACTTGTTCACAAAATATGTTTAGCAAGAATTAGACCGGTTTGATTAGCTGATAAGCAGAGATAATTTTTTTTTTTAAATTTATTTAATAAGGAAGAAGACATATATGACAAAAAGAAGAATAAGTAAATTGATTATATTCATGTTGAGAAGCAAAATCAAAGGGGAGGAATCCATTTTTGGTGGCCTCAAAGAGGAAAGAATAACAGAAATTCTTGACTTGACAAAACCACCCATTGCTTTAGTTTTGTTGAGTTTCAGATGCTTACATTCCATTCCCCAAGAATTTCTGCTTTTCTTCTTCTGCCTCTCCTTCAATTTTATTCTCTTTTCTCCCACAAGGGAATATCATTCCAATGCTGCAACCAATGCCCTTCGTACATCTGTCTCTGCAAATGATTGACCAGTGTCCAGTTGAAAAAAAAAGGAGAGAAAATGGAATAGAAGAGCAGTAAAAAGCTTACAGGTATTCTTTGTACCGTACAGACCCCAAGAAAGGATAGCTCAAGTACTTCCAATCTGCCCAAATTTGGAAACAGATAGGGCAAAGGGTAAAATGATAATTATAGCAAAGTTTATTCCACATATGGTATAAGCACAATGGCATAAAATAGGCTAACATCTTGGATAAACATAATGGCACAGAACCAAACCAAGTTTTCTATAAACAACCATTAAAGAGAAGGAAACCAACATAAACCCTTTTTTGTAGCGAGACAACAAAATGAAATTCACACATTTACAAGGGTCCGAGAGATCAGTTCGCATGTATACTTGAAAAAAAATGCTCCGTACGATGAGAAGTTCATATTTTAAAACTTCCCTAAAGGTAGCAATACCTTCCTCCAAACAACATCCACAACCCAATTGGGTCCCACAAGAGTAGGGTGTGGGACATTCCTCCAAACAGCGTGATATAATTTTACAGTATCAGAATCAAACTATTGGTTAGGGAGAAGATGTTGAAATGTGAGCTAAGGTTAATATTTTTTTTAAATTCATCTCACAACAAGGGGAATTTTACTATAGTCAGAAAAATATTCTTATAAGTTCTAATTAATTTCCAAATGCTTCATTTAGATTTTTAGAGTCCCAAGAATAATTGTTTAAATAAAAAGTGAATTAGGTCCTTGATCTATGAATATAATGGGTTTCAACTGGAATTTATTCTGTATTAGTTGATAATATTATTCTTTATATTTAATATGAGCCTTATAGATATTCTCTAACTATTTGCATTATGGAAGGCCTAACGACAGAGAGTATGCGTGGACTTTAACACATTCACCATATTGATAGAGTGAAAATGAAGAGAGCATCCACTTATAGCAATTCAAAATAAAACATACATGCTTTAGATTCTATTTTCGCTGATAGAATCAGTAATTAAAAAACTTGCAAGTGTTGGATTTGATACCAGAGTTTTTTTTACACGACAACGAGTTAGGTTATTAAGTTTACCTCACAGGTTTAGCAAATTAGGTTATAAAATGGTGATGTAATCCACACGTAAGGATGACCTGTACAATACACATTAAGTTAATTGAAAATGTCCGGCAATGATAGGTAAAGTTATACTTTCCACCGAACACAAGAATGGAAGCAAGTACAACCTTTATCTTTGCATTCTGCAGGTGTCTCAATATTATTCTAATAGGATTAAAGCAATTTACCTAAGTTTACTGTCCGGGACGAGTAACTACCATGCAGACAGTTGGGTGATGAGGAATGTAATTCATATTCCATTCCTATCTTTCAACTTAGACCACGGAAAAGCACCTTGATTCTTCATTTAAATCTTATTACATTTTGTAAGCTGAAAATTTATTATTTTGGAGGCAGATTATGACAGAGAAAGTGCTGTTTTTAGTTGACTTAGTTCATCTTATATATCATAAGTTTAAGTGAATATAGTTGTAGCAAGTTAGCACCAAGTCTATTTACCATGCACTATACCTGGAAGTGAAGAGCCAGTGCACGATGTAACATGCCCGAGCTTCATTCCAATACCTACTGTAAACAGGATGTGTGACAAGGGTTTGGACCAGATAATAGATTTTAATTTTGAGTCCACCAAAACCTAAGCAACTTATACAGAGGCTAAAATGATCGCCATTGTCGTCATTTCACCACCACCTTTATCGCATTTTCCAAGTTCCAACTATGTTGGGGTCCATAGTATGCAATATAAAGTCTTATTTTATACCCTACAATAAGTAAACACCACAAGTTCATGCAAACAATAGTGGTGAAGTTTTATGTCGAATTACTTGTTGAGGCCTTTTTATGAAGGCATAAGAAGATAAAATTCTAAAACCGCCATTATGATGAAAAGATTATCAAATAGGGATGAACTGACATGATTGCTATACATTTTTTATGCTCCATTACATGATTGATATGGTAAAATCAATGCATAATTCATGGAACAAACCTACTCTTTAAAAGAAAATATGTATTAGTTTATTATTGATGAATTTCAAGCAGAAGAAACATTTCCAGATCATATTGCTACCACTTCATTTTCTTATATGTATATATGCAATATACTACATGCTTCAGTCCAAAGAATCTTCTGTTGGAAAGAGAAGATGACTTTGATAGTGGATTCCTTCAGTAACCATAAAAATGTATAGTAAATTTCCATGGTAACCTTGGGAATAAGGTTCTAAATATGTTCTTTAAAAAGGATCCAAATATTTTTCAGGCAAGGAATACATATGTGAAGAAAAAGCATGTGGTGTATCTATTCTTGTACCATTTGTACGGTGTTAAATGTTTAGGACTTATATTGCAGAAACTTAAATGCTAATTGCTGCAGCTTAAAGTATAAAAAATGTATACCATGGCCCACAGATGTGCACAACTGCAAGGAAACGATCTCCTTTTGTACTGCTGTGAAGATTGAATTGGGTGTAGCCGCGTAAGATTTGCACAAGGCCTGCACAAGATTCCATTCCTTGCATGGACCCCTACCACTAGGTGTCCTCAAATCCTTATAAATCCTCATTGATCACAACTCTGTATTGTGAAAAATTGTCAAAGACATTAGAAATAGATAACAGGTGTTGCAGAAGCTTTCTGTAGTACAGCATCAAACACAATATACTTTGCATGGTATAGAAGACCCCTTTATTCAGAATAAAAGGGTGAGAACAGATTGCACAAGCAAACTAATATCCCTTGCAGCCTGCAGGTATATTTAAAAGTATTTATGTAGCCAGACGAGGTACCGGTTTTTTCCAACATGTCACTTATTTGCTAGTTGTCACATTGAAGAGAAATCATGTATCAAGGAAGGAGTGTGCAGCCTTCCACAAGAATGTCAGTTCCTCCTGAAAGGCATTTGTTCCTGCAAGGTGGAAATGGCCATGGAGATTCAGGACTTGTCCTTTCAACTGATGCAAAACCAAGATTGAAGTGGACGACAGACCTGCATGAGCGGTTTATAGAAGCAGTTAATCAACTTGGTGGAGCAGACAGTATGTGCATGAAAATGACTCAATTTTCAGCTGAAAGATGTTTTCTTTCTTTCTAATAGCTCAACTAAGAATTCCTTTAATGCAGAAGCCACTCCAAAGTCAGTTTTGAAGCTAATGGGAATTCAAGGATTAACCTTATATCATTTAAAGAGTCATCTTCAGGTAAATTCACACCATCCGCGTTCCTTTATTCATTACATTTTAGTTTTGTACTACAAGAATTGGTGGCCAACAGATGTACCATCAATTAAAATGTTCAATTAGGAACTGAGTTGAGTAAGCATATTCTTATATGACTTATATCTGCTACTTAAACAAGCTTATCTACATTAAGGACCGGTATGGAAAATATGCCTCATTTTGAGTTGCTTGTATTTCTGGAATGAGGGAATTCCTAGAAATTGGGTGTCATCCCCATATCTCGGATCATTAAGAAACTAGCATATTCCTTGAAATCTCCAATTGTGTCCGAAATTAAATATTACTTTGAGCATAAAATAATGCAAACAGAACTTGCCATAAGTAACTTATTTCCTATGCTTTATGGGGTTTTGCAAAACAACATTAAACAAGGTTATGTGATTATGTCCCATAGCAAGTTTCATTTCATACAAGTATTTATGGGCTAAACCCAAACAGTTTTTTAGCCCCTGAACATACTTCCTTTCACCCTTGGACGTCTTTTTTTCTAATTCAATGCTTCTTCATATGTTGTCGAAAATGATTTTTCAAACGTTTTTACTTCTTTAAATTTCCCACATTTTAAGTTATGTCGGGGACTTCACTGGAGAAACTCTCTACCCTTAAGGGTGTGTTCGGCTAGAAAAGAGGGTAGGGAATGAAAAGAATGGAGGGGAGAGGAATAAAAGGTTTCTAAAAACCTCCTAATCCTTACATTTCTTTTCCTTCCCCTGCCCTTCCATCCAACCAAACACACCCTTAAGGTAGAGTGCCTGCATTTCACGCTCCCCACACTCTAATTCTGAGTGGGGACATTCTGGATATGCTTAGTTTGGTTAGGATAGTTGTCCGTTAATTTGGACCTTTTTTTACCAAGCACATGGAAGCTTCAATGCATGCATGTTGTTTCATTATAAAAGGCTCTCTGGCCTTCCTCTCTCCACAGATATGTACATGTGTATATACTTGAAGTTCTATGATATGCTTCCAGCTATAAAATTTAACATGTTGCATTTGTGATAGCAGAAATACCGACTCAGTAAGAATCTTCACCAACAAGCCAATAGTGGATCCAATAAAACAAGTAACACATTTTTTTCTCATTAATATATCTGCAAATATATTTCAATGAGAACATATAGAACCAATTGATTTGATGAGTTTGGAAATAATTGCAGCATCAGGAGGCTCAAGAGCAGACACGATATATGATGCGAATGAAAATTGTAAGAATAATGTGAGCACTGGGCATCAAACAAATAAGTAAGAACATAATAGCATTTACAGGGTTCATTTACTCTATGACTAGTCTTACACCATACTTCATTTGCAAAAAATACAACAGCGGTTATAATCAACACAATTTATTTTTCAGAAGCATACATATAAGTGAAGCAATACAAATGCAAATTGAAGTTCAACGGAGGCTACACGAACAGCTTGAGGTAAAGCCTCTTTTAACAGCGAGGAGTTTTAAACATGCTAAAAAACAAGATGCTCTTTCAACTCCTTGTTTAATTGCTCAGCAAAGATATCTTAGCTTCATTTCGAATAACATCCAATGAAATTGACATAGGTTCAGAGACATTTACAGCTTAGGATAGAGTCACAAGGAAAATACTTACAGGCTGTGCTGGAAAAAGCACAAGAAACCCTCGGGAGACAAAACATGGAAACAATGGGACTAGATGCATCTAGGGTTCAGCTTTCAGAGCTAGTATCTACAACATCCCACCAATGCCTAAACTTGGCATTTCCAGAGGAGAAGGAACTACCAGGAGTCAGTCCACAACAAGCAAGAGCTCCCCAACCCACAGATTGCTCACTAGATAGCTGTCTAACCTCCTGCGAAGGATCTTCAAGGGAGCATGAAATGCACAATAGCCAGCTGGGATTGGGATTTCTAAACCTCAGAGCATATTTGGATTCCAAGGACATGGAAAACGAAACAAGGAGACAGCAAACTGAACAGAGATGGAGCCGCAACCCGAAGGAGAACGCCGTGTTCCTTCCTGCAAAGAATGAAGCACTTAACACCCAGTGCAGTAGCTTAACAATGAGCATCGGACTTCAAGGAGGAAGACAGAATGACAAGAACAGCTGCGAATACACTGGGACTATGGATGCAGATCACAAACTAAATTTTAGATCAGCAGAAGCAGAGAAGATGCCACAAAACTATAAATTGCACAATTTAGGGCCAAATCTTGATCTGAACACAGGCGAGGAAATCGATTTGGCTTCGACCTGCAAGCAATTCGATCTTAATGGCTTCGGTTGGAGCTGAGTGGCAGTGTTTCGTCGACAGCTAGAGCGAATGAATTTGAAATTTCTGTCGCAAGTAGGAGAAAACCATAACGTTCTCGTTTGAGAAATCGATATTCAATAATGTAATACGGAGTACTCTGTAATGTATTTCAAGACTATAAACATCTGACATAGTCGAAATGCTGTTCGAAAATTCTGCAAGCTTTTCAGTTTTAGCTTCTAGACCAGCATATTTACCTCCTTCCCCATTTAGGCGGCACAAGTTCAACTTATTTTTTTTATTCTTATTAAACTTATATTTTCTTATTTGTTCTTATTCTTATTAAAATCAGACCAGATCAGATCAGATCGAATCTGATCAGATCAGATCGAATCAGATCAGATTTGATCCAATCAGATCAGATCAGAACTTATTAAAATCAGATCTCATCAAGAAGTATTATTATTATTATTATTATTATTATTATTATTATTATTATTATTATTATTATTATTATTATTATTATTATATTATCATTATTATTATTATATTATTATTATTATCGTTATTGTTATTATTGTTTTTAAAAATTAAAAAAAATAAACTTTAGAAACAGGTTAAATAGAAAACTGAGAAAGTAATCCTTAATTATTAGATATCAAAAAAATTAGTTTTAAAATAGATTGACAATGTCAATATAATTATTCTTTTAAAATATATTTTTATTACTACTTCCAATTTGAGTTTCTAAAGTTTTAATCTTTTATAAGGATAAGATATTTTAATAAAAATACTATCTCTTCTATATATTGATTATCTAAATTTATTTACTTTTTAATGTATATACAAATTAAATATTTATTCTAATGTATATATGAAATAATTATTAAAATATTAAATTAATATTCTAATTTCACAAAAAAATAATCATAAAATAAAAAATTATTATATTATAATATGAATGATTATTCTAATATATGAATTAACTAATTGTATTTTATTAACAATAATCATTAAATAAAAAATATTGATTATATTATAATATGAATTATCATTATAATTTTCAACGTTATTATAAAGTCAAATCAAATTATTGATTTGAATTTTAAATCAAATCATAATTAATCAAATCAGATTAGACCAGATCAGATCCAATCAGATCCAATCAGATTAGACCATATCAGATCAGATCCAATCAGATCAGATTAAATCAGATCAGATCAGATCCAATCAGAACTTATTGAAATCAGATCAGATTAGAAAAATAAGTTGAACGGAACAGAGCTTTAGGGTTATGCTTGATTGACGTTTATGTTGGGATTAAAATAGCATTTTCCCCTAACTTATTGAAAGAACATACAAAATTATCTTTTTAAATAATATTATTTATAAATTGATACGAGCTAGTATAAAACTAAAAAACACAAATTACAGCATTTAGAATTATATAAAAATTTTACACAATAAAAGATGACAAAAATATCTTATTTTATTAAATAATTGATGAAAATATACATACGAACAAAAGTTATCGAAGAAAATAAACTAAGATGGATGAAGCACAAGAGAACTATGTTTCGTTTCATCGCTAGCCGATCCAAGAAAATAAAGATTACTCTAAAAGAATGTTTGGGAAAAGTCTTTTCAAATCTTAGAATTCAATTCTAATAATTGAAATCTCATAATTTCAAATTGTAAATATTGTTTGGAAAATCATAGAATTTGAATTTCGAAGTTGACAAAGACGCTATGAAAACTTGTTGGTCTGTAGGGGATTGTTGGTGTATAAGGGGAGATTACTTTTTAGTTATAAGTTAGGAAGTATAAACTTTAAAAAATGAACTTGATTTACAACCTCCGTCCCTGAGTATTTGTCCAGTTTTGACTTTTTTGGTAAACTGTTTTCAACCTTTGACCTATTGTTTCATTCTTTTTGTTTACCTGCGTGTAGCAAATAAAACATACTACACGCTCTGCATTGAAGCTGAGTAAGCATGTCTAATGCATTGAACATTCATATAAATTGAAACTCAATTCATAATCAACTCATTTGATATCATGCACATAATTTTCAGTTCAGATATTCAACAATTAAGATACAATATTCACCATTAAATGTTCAACATTTAATATTCATCATTCAGTATTCTCATTCGTCATTCAACAATATCCTTAAACTAATCTTAGTCTCAGGCCAATCTCTTTAATGTTTATCAACCCTTAAACGAATTCTAGTTTAAAATATTTCTAAACAATTCGTAAACTATATTCTAGTCTAAGGTACTTTTATCCAATCCTCAAGCTAGACCTAGTTTAAGATATAATTTTCAAAAAGGTTTTTCAAATCTTAAACTTACCTTCGCTTTAGGTCAACCAGAAACTGAACACCGGAATGCTCACTGTCGGGTTGGGTGATATCCCCAAACGAGTGATCCTCAAATTTGGTTTGCGGATCCCGTACGTACGTTTTAACCCAAGCCACCGAATATTCATAATTATACCCACAAGGCCTATTTCTAATCTATCTTAGAGGTCTTCAAGATAGTATTAGAAACCAACATCAATATGGATATATCATAGAGTTCTTTTAGATATCCTTAATAGTCAATATCAATTCCAAATGGATATATCTTAGAGTTCTTCTAGATATCATTAACAATACAAATCATTTCATAATCATCAATGCATTTATTTTAATCATGGTTCAATCATTAACAATAATCATTTTAATGAGTAGGTTCATCATTGATAATCATTCATAATAATCATTCATCATAATCATCAATTAACATAACATCCAATAACAAGTAGCGGTCTAGTTTCGAGTGTTAACACCCTAACTTATCGTCATGCATCACATAACATTTTATTTGTTAAATACATCATTTCCATGGTGAAAATTCATCTTTATTTTGTTTATAATTAATTGGTATCAAAAATAGAATTTTAAAGCTCAAAAATAGTCTGGATCGATCCAAACTATAAAAAAATATCCCAGGGGATCGATCCGATAGGATGGATCGATCCACCCTGTTGATTTTCAGCCACTATTCATCTTCTCCAACCTTCGGTCCATTTTTTGGAAATACCATTTTTAGTTAGCGAACTTCAATTAAACTATATAGAGATGTTCTCAAAGGTTCACATATCATTTTGGTATCATTAATTCATAGTCTTAACAACAATTTCATGGTTTATGATTCTTGGTTCTTCAAGCATGTCAAACACAGAAATCAACGTATAAACATTCTAGTCACTAGATATATCTACGAGCTTACCTCCAAGCTTAATGGAGGTTTTGAGAATTTTTCGGCAAAATTTCCAGTGTCGATAGATCTCAACTCTGGCGACCTCACAACAATATGACATCACCACTACGTTCTCCTCACTCACAACAATAGAATATATAGAAAGATTGTGAGAAATGGTGAGGACTTGAAGGAATGGAAGTGGTCCTTATATAGGAAAATGGTGAAGGATGCTGCCAAGGGTGATGTCTGGTTTCTTGTTCGGGCGGCTAGTGGAGTGGGCTGCGATATTTCTCCAATTTCAAACGCAAGTCCCTGATTGGGACTAATTTGGTCCTAGTCGAGGTACACTTTTTGGTCCAACTTTCTCCGAATTGAAATCGGATTGAATCATTGGAATCAGACAGTCAAACTCTACAAATGATATAATTTTATCATTTATTGAAAAACTTTATAGATCACTTATTTTTGGGTCCTTCTTTGTAATTAATTAATTATTAATTAATTAATCCTGATAGGCCTATTTTCGAGGCGTTACATTTCTCTCCCACTTAAAAAAATTTCGTCCTCAAAATTACCCGAATCATTGGTTAAAAAGATTTGGATATTGTTTCCTCATTGACTCTTTAGTTTCCCATGTCGCTTTTTCAGTCAAGTGATTCTTCCATAGTACTTTGACTAAAGAGACAAATTTGTTTCTTAGTTCCTTGACTTCTCGTGCCAAAATTTGGACAGGTTCTTCTTCATAAGTCAAATTTTCGTCAAGGGTTACAGTTCCATGAGTCAAGATGTGAGATGGATCAGAACGATAGCGTTTTAACATTGATACATTGAATACGTCATGAATTTTGTTCAGTTCGGGTGAAAGTTCTAACTGATAGGCTACTGGACACAAGTTCAATGATTTGATAGGGTCCAGTATACCTCGGACTCAGTTTTCCCTTTTTACCAAACCGTAACACTTTCTTCCACGGTGAGACTTTCAGAAATACTTTGTCGTCAACATTGTATTCAATCTCACGATGTTTCAAATTGGCATAAGATTTTTGTCGATCAGAAGCCACTTGTAGTCTTTCTTTGATTAGACAAACTTTTTCTTCAGTTTCTCGGACAAGATCAGATCCTTCAAGCTTTTGCTCACTCAATTCAGTCTAGCAAATTGGTATTCTACAGCGTCTCCCATGCAAGGCTTCGTACGGGGTCATTTGGATACTTGCTTGATAACTGTTGTTATAAGCGAACTCCATTAGCGGTAAGTATTGTTCCCAGTTGCTTCCAAAATCGAGTTCGAATTGGGAATCTGTGATTCATGTCAAAAGAGTAATTAAGTAAAGACTTCATTCAAATCAAATAAAGTTGTCTCTAATTCAAGACCTTTACAACATACCTTCTCGAACTATGAGCTTAGGAGGTAATTACTTTGCCTTAGTTATTGCCGATTACTTTTCCCGTTATACATGGACTTTTTTTCTTGCTCATAAAAAGGATGTACCCTTATCTTACCAAAAATTCACTAAAAAGGTTCAAAAAAAAGATGTTAACATTGTAGCCATAAGAAGTGATCATGGGGAGAATTTGATCAAAGTGGGTTTGACACCTATTGCGATGAAGCAGGCATTGCACATAACTTCTCAGCCCCAAGAACGCCTCAACAGAATGGCATTGTTGAGCGGAAAAACCGATGATTTACATTGACAAAAAATATCCAGATTTTTTTAATTGAACTAACTTATTTTATCTGTGTGAACCGTTACACCTCAATGGTTATCCAAAATTCATTCTGTCCGAATCTATCTCCACCTCGCGGTCCAATTCGGGTTCAGTCTGGACAAACTTGAACAACCCTAGTCGTAGAGTCGGAGAACGCCTCTCTACTCATCTCTCTGTCGCCGATCTAATCTCTTTTCTCCCAGTCGTCGTTCCCTTCTCACTAGTCGCGACCATTCTGTGTCGCCGGCGGCGGGATCTCGTCTCTCTTCTTAAGTCGCCGGGAACTTTGAGAAGATTCGCGACCATCACTCTGCGCGTCGTCTATTTCGCCTTCAGCTTTCTCTCTAAGATTTGCTCGGAACCCGGTATTTCTCATCTAACGTACTATATAATTATACTCCTGACTAAAATCTCCTCCGCCATTATGATTGATTAAACTCTCGTAAGTCGCTTGGATGGAAATTTTGAGCTACTTTGTGTATTGGTCTTCAGATATCAAATAAGGTCACTCACACGTTGTCGTTTGCTGTCATTATTATGAATTGTTTAGCAAATAAGGTTTTGATTTTCAATTTATAGATTTTGGTGAGGATTTTATTTATTTTTGTTTCAATTGGAGCCCTAATGAAGAATCCCTCTAGCTTTTACCGTGTTTTAAATTTTTATTAAAAATAGTTGAATATTTTCTTTTTTATTGTTGTATTGGCCATTGGGGGGCTTAATTCTAGTTGATTTTTTGTTTGTTTGTTTAGGTTTCAAGTTCAGTGAGTTGCAAAGGTTCAAGGCATCTAAGAGTGTAGTCATCCTTGTGATTCTCCAAAATTGTTTGTTTCCTGAGAAGGTATATTCCACTATTTATTGTCTTATATATGTGTTATACTCCATCCCATATTTAAGTTGCCATTTGCTTTTTCACGGAGAGAAAATGTGAACATGTGTGGTTCAGTGGTTGAGATTTGTGTATAGAGGAGGAACATCATAAAGTTTAATTTGGGACACCTATCAAAGGAAAGTGAAAAAAATGGGACAAAGGGAGTATTTGTGGACTCATGTGTCCGCAAAATGTATTGAACAAAACAGTAAGTAAATGTGTGTGTGGATGGATATTTGCATTATTGATATATTAACATTAGGAAATGTTTTAATATATATGTGTGCTCCGTATAATTTAGTACATTAGAATCCATCTGCACCATTATTTGTGCCTTGTTTAGTTGAACATGAATTTAATGAAAATGAAAAGTATTTGTTCGAAACTAGTTTAGAATAGAGATAAACAAGCTAAATCACATTTTGTTCTCCTTCAAAGGAAGATGTATTAGTTTTGGGACATCCAAAAATTGAACCCTAAGGTTTATTTAGGGCTTGTTTTGTGAGCAAAACAGGGTTGGAATTGAATGAGTTATGAAATCTCAAAGGAATTAAATGAGTTCTTAAATATCAATCAAAAGTGTTCGGAGAAATCTGAAATGATTTCAAGATTGGGAATCCCAAAACTGAAGTTCCATTTCCTTTGTTGGCATAACCAACTCACCAAAAATGTTACTCCCATCCCAAAAAAGATGCTTTATTTCCTTTTTGGGACATCGTATAAAAGCCTCTTCTTTCCTTTTTTAGAAAACTTTGAGTGGCTCACAGTCTTTCTCTTCTGCATCACTTTCAACCACATTTTTTCTTAAACTTTGAGCCCTTTTTTGGAAAACTTTGAGTGGATAAATCTCTCTCTTTTGCATCACTTTCAACTATATATATTTTTTCTTAAACTTTGTGCCAAATTAAACTATGAGTTATTTTGTGGGACGGAGGGAGTATAATACCCCTATCTTTTCAATCACTTTTTCTATCTTTTCAATTACTTCACACACTCTTAATTCAACTCACCCACTTCTACTATTTCGATCTCTTTTTATACCCACCCCCATTTTTTTCTTAGCCATATCACTCCCTCTTATTTTAACCACAACAGACATAGTTGTTAAAGGCGCTCGCCTCTCTTGCCCATGGCACCTCATGCGACCAGGCGAGCTCTTAGCACCTCAAGGAGGCCATGCGAGGTGAGATCCCTAAGGCGCGCCTAAGTCATTGCCTTTCTTGCCTCGATCACCGCCTCAGGCATTTGCCTAGCTCGCTTTTCAATACTATATGCATGTTTTGTTTTCCTCCGACAATTATGTAGCTTTTACGGCTTCAGGATATGCAATGCATAATATATATTGCTATATATACATGTATATAGTATCAATATTGTATGTTTGTACATAGCAACATACCTATTATACATATATATATATGTGTGTGTGTGTGTGTGTGTGTATATAATATGTATATATATATATTGTGTGTTTGTACATAGCAACATACCTATTATACATATATATATATGTGTGTGTGTGTATACATTTATATGTATATATAGAAATATACGGAGTATGTGTGTGTGTGTCTATATATATAATGTATGAATGTTTGCCTTTATTTGTTCTCCATTTGACCACCCACCTGTTGCCATAAAAAAGGTTGTCTCGCCCGCCCCTTGCCAATAATAACTATGACAACACATCAGGGGTAAAACTGGAAATCCAACACCATTTTAAAGTTTGCATTAATCTGTGTGAAGTTAAATCAGAACTTTAGTTTTGGGACAAAGGGACTATTTTTTACGAATTGTTCCTTCTTCCTCCTCGACATGGTCCCTTCTCTCAACGCTGCTTGTTTCTCTCTCTGACACTGCTTGTTCTTTCTGTGATGCGTGTTGCTCTGATGAAGATGAAGGGACGATGATATGGCCCAGTCTTTGTCATTTACTCTTTTAACCAAATTTGTCACGGTACTGGATCTTGAATTGGCCTGTCTTGAAGGAAAGGACACATACGAGATACATATGATGGTAGGAATAATGGAAAATGATGGAGATACACACCGTTGAAATTGACTTATATCAAGTTCGATATTGATGAAAATGATATAGATATCAAGTCCCAACCTATTGGAAGTGTTTTCATTTCACTAAACAACAATTTCAGGAGCTCGATATTGGAGATATCAAAACCTATGCCGGTCTTGGACTTTAGGAACATAGCAAGAAACTTTATACTTTGTAATACTCCCTTCGTCCCCCATCAAAGTTCCCTACTTCCCATTCACTTTTTCATAGAGTTTAATTACAAAATGCCAAATTATTTGGTAATTATTGCCACTTGTAACCACTATCTTAATAGATTATACTCCCTTAGTCATAACCTCTACTAAACTAACAACTATAAACCTTGTTATCACTGGTAGCCATTAATGGCCCTTGATAATTATTGCCACAGTCAATATCTACCACAACTGTAGTGCCTTCAACCATCAATACTTCTATTCAACACCACCTATCACAATTATCTTTGAAAAAGCCGCCAATCATCACCACCACTGACTATTTGCTGCTTATGATAGTAACTGTAGTCAATATTTGCCTCCGATAGAAACCACTACCACCACCACCAGCCACCATCATTGCAGACACTTGCAGTCAACCACTATCACTGACTATGGTGCCACCAACCACCGCTATTGACAACCACCACTTTCACAATCAACCTCAACATTGATGACTACTTTTAGCAATCGTTTCCTCACACCGCCTAACACCATCTGTTTCCACACTCGTCGACAATCATCAATCATTGCCTCCACTGACCATCACCACCTTTGATCATTGCTGGAATAACCTACGACCATATTCTTGAAAATGAGAATGACAAGTGGGATATTAGAAATATGTGTTGCTTTATATTATTCAAAACTAGAAAATAAAAATAGAAAAATATTTAACATAAAGTTGCAAATTAGAAAGAAAACGGAAAACAGAAGTAAATACTCCAAGTAGATCCAAATATTTTCAAGTATAAGAAACTATTTAAATTAAACTTGAGTAGAAGACTAGTTGCAATGAGTGCTTCAATTCGAGAAAGAATTCAGCACTCTAGTAGAATAGTAGAGAGGAAAGCATTCGGGTAGAGAAGGAAAGAAAGCAGTTAAGTAGAGAATAACATATTAAGCTCTGAGATTTTCTTTTAAATCATCTTTATACTTGATGAGAAGAATTAGTCCCGTTGAGCTAAACCATGTCACAAAAATGCCAATTTTCCATGGCATCAAAGGTGTAAGCCTCATATGCCTTGAAGCATAAGCATCACAATAGAGAGATATTAGCATTTCTCGGAAATAATAGAGCATAGCCTCAAAAAGAATATTCTCTATGCCACTTCCTCGAGATGAGCCTCAAAGCTTAATCCTTAGCACTCTAACTATGGTGAAACTACAAAAATTGATTTTTGTGCTTTCACAACATTTTATACAAAAGTGATGCTTCGCTTTGCACTTTTCTCAAATTGTACTATGTTGCTTGGGTACACTTTTTGCTCTTAAAGAAGGTACTATGTTTTAGAATCTGTTACAATTTGTACAATGGGTGTACTTGAGAAACTGCCGTTAGTATATTAGCAAATTTGAGTAGCACTTACAGTTTGTAAAGAGATCTTTGTGAACTCATTGGTGCATAAGTTTTTTCTATTTTAGTGTACTGTTGTTGAGAATGGCTTTTATATGCTTTTGAGTTGCTCATGTACCAGTGCATTCACAGAAAGTGCATTATTTCACTGCAGGAAGGTTTCAGTTACAGGTTCCGACATTAGTTTTGGAACTGGACTTTTTTAATGAGTGGGGTGGTATATTGATTACCAAAGCCCATTTTTCTGTCCATTGATGTCCACTTATATTCTTTACTATTTTCATTTCGGATGCCTGGATTTGTTGCTAATTAACATTCCTTCCAAAATCAAAGCACCTATTCATCTTTTTTCTTTTCCTTTTCTTTGTTTTTGTGAATACATTGGCCCTAGCTGTTATACTGACCTTCCAGGCATCAATATGTATTTCAGTACATCAACATCTCAAGAAATTCATGATTCTATTTCTGCACCTGCTGAAAGATGTCATCCTCTTTTATTCATTCATTCAGCATTCTCTTTTAATTGCCTTTGTATCTTGTAGTATTTATTTAGTTGAACTGATCACATTCGAATTTCATATCTCATGGAGGGCATTCATTTGACATTCTTGCGCTTGGAACCCACTTGGTCTTATTTTTGTTTCCGCCTTTCCACAATTTTCTCCTTTTTATTCCCAATTCTTCTGGGTTCTGTGCTTCCATCAAAGCTGCTGGACAAACTTTTCTTTCTAGATATATAAGATGCCAAGGACAAGAGCGAGTGCTGCAGCTCCTGTTTTAAGGGAACCTGAAAAGATAGTTGAGCCTGAAGAGCAGATTGACTTCGATGAAGACAATGAAGATGTGGAGGAAGAAGAGGTTGAATATGAAGAGGTGGAAGAAGAGGTGGAAGAAGAGGTAGAAGAAGAGGAAGAAGAAGATGAGGAAGATGAAGAAGAGGAAAATGATGGCTGTAGACTAATAGATTCAGATGATGTGGCAATGAATGCTGATTCTCAAGTTTTAGAGAATGATGATGATGACAAGCGTACTGAGCTTCTTTCGCTTCCACCTCACGGCTCAGAAGTTTACCTAGGTGGCATCAATCAAGATGTTTCTGAAGAGGATGTGAAGCAATTTTGTAACTCAGTAGGTGAAGTTGTTGAGGTAATTTTCCAATTTACTACATGTCTACATCTGATATCTTATTTTTCAAATCTACAGTGTTCTTGTGTTTGGGATTACAGGTAAGGATAATGAAGGGAAAGGAATCGAATCAGAACAAGGGTTATGCTTTTGTCACTTATAGAACAAAAGAATTGGCTTCCAAGGCAATCAAGGAACTAAATAATACTGAACTAAAGGTGTGTGGGTTGTGTTTTTTCTTTCACCGTATCCACACAACTTTTATCAGTTATTTTTGAAGTAAGCTGCAGAGACTTTGCTGTGAACTGTTACATTCTTGCAAACCCAACACCCTCAAGTAATGATTCTCAGAAGTCTTTTCTCACTTTGTTAGTAATTTTATCCTTTATCAGGGAAGAAAGGTGAAGTGCTCTGCTGCTCAAGCAAAGAATAGGCTATTCATTGGTAATGTTCCTAGACACTGGGCAGTGGAAGATCTGAAAAGGGTTGCAAACAAGACTGGGCCCGGTGTTGTTGATGTGGAATTGGTCAAGGTAGGCATGCACTTGTTATGTTGTCACATAGTGTACTACTTCCCTTTGATAATCTTAAGGCATGCTCTGCTTAATGTGTGAATGGTGTGGTATATACTTCCATTTGAAATCATTTTCCTTATTCTTATGCTAAATCTTCACTAGTGCAGGATCCACATATCTCGAACCGGAATCGCGGATTTGCTTTCATTGAGTATTACAATAATGCATGTGCAGAGTATTCACGACAGAGAATGTCTGGCCCAAATTTTAAGCTTGACGATAATGCCCCAACTGTGAGCTGGGCTGACCCAAAAAGCGCAGATTCATCTGCTACTTCTCAGGTTCTCAAATGAAATATTCTGAGTCAACATTTTCCATCTTTCTTTCTCTCTCACACACATGTATTTCAAAATTTAAATCAGTTTTTAGTTCTTTTTGAAATAGCTAACGTACATTGATGTTTCATGCTCATACAATGCTTGTTTTGTTGGGAGCTTTTGTAGTAGAGGGGAGAATTGGGTTTTCTTTGACTGAATTATCTCTATATGTTAGTCTTAGTATAATGAATAGAGAAAACTTTAGCTAAATCATGTGCTCCTTTTGTACCTAAATAATTTGAATGTTGTGGGTTACGATGGTTGCTTGAATTTATTTTCAGTTCAATTTATATGAAGGTTAATGTAAAATTTTAAAAACAAAATTTATATATTTAAAAACCCAGAAGGTCTACGAATCAAGAGGAGACATCAATATTTTGTTTTATCAAATCAGTAATGAAATTAAGGAAATAGACTGATAAAACTCTGACCCTGGAATAGTGAGTGTGGAAAGTAATTGGGGATGGAGGGAGTATTTTCTATATATTTTAATGACATCACAATTTAGTCCCCACTTTTTTTTTCTAACCATCTAATTTAAGAATATAATAATAAAATAACTATTATCATTCCCTTTCAAAATCCCTAAGCTAAACAAACAAAGAATGTTCCAGTTTGCAACCTGAGTACCTGACTTAACTGTTGTCATCTAGAATTCTTTATATTTTACCCTCAAATATAAGTAGTAATTGTTATATGATTCGTTCATTTGGTTACTATGTATCCTTGACATATTAATTTCATTTTCTGGATTTTTTTCAAAAAGTTCAACAGTGAAATTTCTAATTAAGAGAACTCTTAGTTTGACTAAGTGGTGAAGACCATACTCTTCTAGGTGTGGTCAAGCTGTGTATGACGAGGAACTTTACATTGTTATGCTCCAGGTTAAAGCTGTATATGTGAAGAACTTGCCCAAAACAATTACTCAGGATCAGCTGAAAAGTTTATTCCAACACCATGGGAAGATTACTAAAGTTGTTCTGCCTCCTGCTAAAGCTGGGCAGGAACAAAGCAGATATGGTTTTGTCCACTTTGCTGAAAGATCCAGTGCCATGAAGGCTTTGAAGAACACGGAGAAATATGAAATTGACGGTGATTGTTGATTATGTTTTAATGTCATCATTTTGTCATCAATCAAAACATTATAACAAGTACTCTCTTTGTCCCATATGTTTCTTCCTCATTTGACTTTGCACTGATATTTATGTAAACAACGTATCTAGTTTTGTGTGGGGGTAAGGTCTACGTACACACACCCTCTCTAGACCCTACTTTTTATGAGATTTTTACTGGGTTGTTGTTGACTTGGTGCGGATATTAATGTAAAACAAAAAAATCTCTTGACCTTCCAATTTTGCCTTTGATTTGATGGCTGAAGGAGATATAGTGAGTTAAGATTTGAGTTTGAAAAAGTCAATTTGGTTTTACTTATTTGCAAATATGGAAAGAGGAAGAAAGATATGGGTCGGCCAAAAAAAAGAAAAATGAAAGAAATATATGAAACATAGGGAGTAATTTTGTTTGTTTTTTTTGCATGATGTCCAATCCCAATCTCATAGGAAAAGTTCTGGAATGCTCACTTGCAAAGCCACAGGCTGATCAGAGCAGTGGATCAATTTCAAAGAGAGAAGTCGCTCCTCCATCCTACCCACCTCGTATGGGATACGGCATGGTTGGAACTCCTTATGGTGCCGTAGGTGCTGGAATTGGTCAGGTATAGTTTGGGAATCGGTCAGGATATACAAACTTATGAAAGCTTGGCCAAGTAGTTTTCAAAGTGGTCCATTTTGCCTCATGTACTTTTTTCATTCTGTCATGCAAAGTACTTGTTTTTAATCAGAATCTTGAAATGGTGCCATTAGCTTCTCATCCAAACAATTAACGTTCTGTCTATTTTCCGTTCCCCTTGTGTTCATCTGCTTTAAAACTATTGAGATTTAATTCGACATTTGGCTAAAATGAGGGCCAAATCTGCTGGATTTTTCTGAAATGAAAAGCTAAAATTTATTCCAGCTAAATAAGTTTATAGTTGCTCCTTGTTGAGCACAATAGTGCTTTCAAATGAGGCCCTTGTATGTGTGTTTGTCTGTCTTCATTCATAGTGATGATCCTTTTTGCAGTCATTGCTTTATGGAGGAGGAGCAGCACCTCCTGGTGTGGCAATGATGCCATTGCTTTTGCCAGATGGTAGGATCGGATACGTCTTGTAAGTGTTTTTTTCCTTCAATACTAGTAATAATTTATACGGAATATGGCAATATGCTCTTAAATGGGAGACAGCCCGATTCTTTAATATTGTTTTTGGAAACATTTAATTCTGAAACCATTATGGAATGAATGGATGTCAGGCAACAGCCAGGAGTTGTGCACACACCACCACCTGCACCACGAACCAGCTTCGGTAACAGCGGACGAAATTCAAGTGGAGGAAGGCGAAACAGCGGTGGGGACAGTGGTCGTGCCCGAAGCCGATATAATCCTTACTAAGTGAAACGCCATGGGCGTTGATTTGTACTCTATCTATGGAAATGTTATTTAATACTCCATCCATTGAAANCAATATGCTCTTAAATGGGAGACAGCCCGATTCTTTAATATTGTTTTTGGAAACATTTAATTCTGAAACCATTATGGAATGAATGGATGTCAGGCAACAGCCAGGAGTTGTGCACACACCACCACCTGCACCACGAACCAGCTTCGGTAACAGCGGACGAAATTCAAGTGGAGGAAGGCGAAACAGCGGTGGGGACAGTGGTCGTGCCCGAAGCCGATATAATCCTTACTAAGTGAAACGCCATGGGCGTTGATTTGTACTCTATCTATGGAAATGTTATTTAATACTCCATCCATTGAAATGTTTACTATATGTATCTCACCCAGTCGAACCCCTCCCCCCCTCCCCCTCCTCTAATGTCATGTTGTTGGGATTGGATTTTAGGCTTACATGTATTACTCCGTAAGAAAATGCAACATTGTGACCTTCAAATTTACTCTAGTCTTAAGTCATATGAATATGTAAGAATACAGGCTGGCTCTGTTTAGGATAAATTCCCTCTTTACTAAATTCCCACCCCCCTCTAGTCTACTATCAGGTGATGAATGGCGCTTTAGACATTGTGGCCTTTCCCCTCTTCCCTTTCGTCTAACTACGCTAGTTTTTCCTATTACTTTCTCTTCCATTCCTGTGGTCTGGTTCTCCCTCCCTTTCTTTTTACCTTCCATTTATTTAATATTATTTTTAACACTTAATTTAATTTAAATTAATTAAACTAAAATTATAAAATATAAAACCATTAAATGATATGTACAAACCTTAAAAAACTTATAATAAAATTTATAAAGGCAACTTAAAAAAATTAATTTCTGAAAAAGTAAAGAACTATTCCCTTTGTTCCAATTTAAATTTCCAATTATGGTTTATGATACTTGATTGAAGTTAGTTTTAAATTATTTTATACTCCGTATAAAAAATAGTGTATAATTAAAAATAAAAATTATTCCATATATTTAAAAATAACATTAAAAGATCTACAAATTTGATGATGACAAGATTTTTTTTGTTGAAGGAAATCAAATTTCAATATCATTCCAATAAATGAGAAATACAATCTGGAGAGATGTATTCCACGTAGAAGATTGAGTTATCGCACTGCGAGCAAGTGTATAAGCGATACTATTAGCTTCCCGTGGAATATGAGAAACCAATGCCGAATTAAATTGGGCTAAAATAGCCTTACAATCTTTTATTATAGTTCCAAGATAAGAAAAAACTTGGATGTTTCTTTCACAAAGAGCTTCCACAACCCGCTTGCAATTCGTAAGGAGCTCCACGTCTTGAATCTCATTAGCTCTAGCCCAGGTAAGAGCTTCTCGACATGCCATAGCTTCTGCCATCACTGGTTCTAAAGGACATTGCATCATTCCATTTATAGCAGCATAGAAGGAATCTCCCTGATTAAAGATGACGCTCCCAAAAGCGACCTCTTTAGAGGAAGGGAATATGGCTGCATCCACATAACATCAAAAGACCATGTGCTTTGATCTCGAGGAAACTTGCATAAACTCATGTCCTCCACTTTGACCAGGTCTGTTTGGCGGATCTTGTAAGGCTTCTTTGACCCAGCTTACCACAGATTGCAATGAAGGGATATAATGATCCCAAACCGCCTTGTTTCCGGCTCTCCAAATTGCCCATATAACTCCGGCTGCCAACTTAAGCTCCTTAACAGAAAGCTTTGAAAATTGGTATTCCATCCATTCAACCAATGATTTTGTCTGTACAAAGATGACAGGACCATCCCAACAAGTTCCAGACTCCAATAGCCAAAGGACATTGAAGAAATCTATGAGCAATGGTTTCTGCAGCACCGCCACAAACTGGACATTCAATCTCGATCTCCATGCCTTTCGTAATCAACGCGACCTTGACTGGAAGGATATTTCTAATTGTACGCCAAAGGCAGATTCTAATTTTATGGGCAATTGGAATCTACCAAAGCTGACCCCATCGAGAGAAACTAGGAGTTGACGTAGCTTCGCCAACCAATCGACGATAAGCCTCTTTTACGGAGTACTCCCCATGCGTCTCTCCTGCCCAATACCATTTGTCCTCACTATCTAGTTGAAGTGGCACCCTACTGATCTGGTCCATATCTCTGGGGAAAAATAAACTTTGCACTGTTAGAGTATATAACAATCATTCCTGGGCCACAACCACAAGCTTGAGCTTTTGGTTGAGTTGGTTCCTTGACATGGTATCAGAGCCTTGATGACCAAGAGGTCACGAGTTCGAAACTCACCGCCACCCTGTTTAAAAATAATTAAGGTTTCACGTGCAAGGCTCAAAGAGGTCACGCCTGCACGTGAGGGGGCGTGTTAGAGTATATAACAATCATTCCTGGGCCACAAACACAAGCTTGAGCTTTTGGTGGAGTTGGTTCCTTGACATGCACAACCTCAAAATTCCAGCCACCTGCATCACGATTCAACAAAAAACCTCTTGATTCTCATGACATTGAGAATCAATGTCATGGGATGACTCGATGCCCATATGGTGCTCCATTTGAAAAATTGATGGTTCATACCTTTTAATCCCCCATCCTAGTCGGCCCAAACCCACCTTCACACCCCTGTCATTGCACCACACAAGATTTAGTTGTTTTTGAAGTCAAATTTTGAGTCTAAAGTCAACTAAATTTCGTGGGGTGCAATTGACGGGGTTGTGAAGCCGAGGAGGACAAGACCGGGGTGGGGAGGTTTACCGAGGAGGTGGGAACCATTAATTTTTAGAACGGAGCACCATAGGTGCCCTAATTGAAGCCCATGTCATAGGATGACATGGGGGGCTCATGCCAGTCCCCCCCCCCCAAAAAAAATAATACTCCCTCCGTCCACAAATAAAATTCTCGTTCACAATTCATATGGTCAAACTTTATTCATTTTGTTGGCCTATTTTCGTCACCCATTTGATAAAATAATATACTACCTCCGTCCCGGAGTATTTGTCCACTTTTGACTTTTGGAACTGTTCATCTAATCACTTTGACTCATCAAATTCTCTCAATGTGTAAGCCTAAATATAGTCATGTGTGATCTTGTTTGATTCGTCTTAACATATAGATTATTATTATATAATTTCTATAATTTTTTAATATACAAATTACAAGATAAAATAGATTAAAGAAGTGCATTGGATGGTGTGTAAAAATGAAAGTGAACAAATACTCTAGGACGGAGGGAGTAGGTATGTTACTTCTAGTTTTGTAGATCTTTTGATATATGTTTTTAATATGTAATTTTTATTTTTAAATTTTATATTATTTTTCATATAAATTGATTTAAAAACAATTTCAGTCAAACATCGTAACACACAAAGAAAAACTTATTTGTGAAGGGAGGGAGTAATAAACAAAGCTCAAAGTCTTAATGGGATGCTAGGTGTCGTATTCCCCTTCATCCTGCTGTGTCATGTGACTCATGTCACTCATATCACCCTTCCTCTTAGCGTCTTACTCTTTCCTCTGTCATATCACATGGTTTTAAGGTTAAAGGTAAAAATTGGTGTATGTCATTGTTTTTTTTTTTGGGATAAAATTTGTCGGGTATGGTGAAAACATAAGTTCTGGTATACTAGTGTACCACATCATGTTTTTTATTCCGAACGTCAATTTTAAAATGTTGGATTTTGATTTAAGATTTTGTTACCTAACTTGGAGAATGATTTAATTAGAAATGAATCTTGGATTGAACTTGAATGTAATTTGACCAATCTAACGGTCTCATACTCTCATTAATCTCATCACGACTCACGAGTTCCTTTGTCTCTTGTGTTTAAACTAAGAGTGCTCATAATACCCGTGAAGTTCCAAGGCTTTAAATTTTTTCTTTCTGTCACGTCAGCTTTTACTTGTCTCACAGATTGATTAGAAATGAGTTTGAAGCCCCAAAATTTCAAACAAAGGCTTCAAACCTTTATTTTTTATATTCTAAATACACATCTTCTAAATATAAATTAATAAAATTTAATTATTTAATTATTAATTAAATTGAAACAAGAATAATTCATAAAAAATTACATTTATTAAATTAAAAAACTAAAAGAACAATAATTCATAAAAATTACATTTAATAAAAAAAGAATGTTTAATAAAAAATACATCAATAAGAAAGCTAAGGCTAAATTATATTTAGCCTTGATCGGTTTTTGTCTTCTCTCAAAGAGCGTACGTTTGAAGCCCGATAACGTATCAAGGTCGGTTTCCATTATTTCGATCTATTTCTTCTGTTGCCTTCTTCTCTCCTTCTCTAATATTGAACAACTGAAGTTGTTCAACCATTGCCCGACCGATATCGTCGTGAGAGGAAACATAGCCGGACCCTCCAGAACCCAACGCAAAGGATTTTGCCTTCTTTCTTTTGATCGACCATGGAATGAGGTCTTCATCATTAGAATTGTCTACGTTGGAGGGAGGCCTTTGTCCGGACGAACCGATAGTGTCATTGACCTCAACCTCAGCCTTGGCGGAGGATCTTTTCTTTGAAGATCTAGCTTCGGGATTATTGAGTTGTTGCCATTAACGGCTTAAAATTCTCCAAAGATCAACATATGCACCTTGCCTTGGTGCCCGTTGTCTTCATACCAGGCCATGGTAAGTTGGAGAACATTGACGTCGTTTGTCCAGATCTTCCGGGACTGAAAGCATTTCACGTAAGAGTCACCGATGTTTCCATTTCAAACAATGGCATATTACTCTAGTATGCTTAGAAGAGTCACATCGCGTACTCGTTTGGCTCGAGACCGCCGGGGGGAGAAGAACTGGAGGGATTTATGTTAACAAAAATTTAAAAAATTTGAAGAAGATTGAAGAGATGTGTGTGAATGAAATTGAATATTGAGAAAAGGAAAGATGTGAAGAAGATTGAAGATTGGGGTATGATATATATAAAATAAATTAAATGAAAGACTTTTTGGGGGTATAACGGCTAAAATAGCCGTGGGGGGGGGGGGGGGG